ATCGGTACAACATTAAATAAAATACATAAAACCTATTTAATTATTTTAACATTAAATGACATATATAGTGTTGACAAAGCATCATTATCAACTGATCTTCGCTCAGAATAAATGGTTCATCATTGCTTACGGGTATACATTAAATTACATACAACTATGGCTTTACCCAACTCCATTATCCTAGGACGTCCTTTCTTCGTTTCCTCACAATATATTTTGATGCAGTGTGTCTGTATCAGCTCGACTAAAAGTAATTGAGTGGGTAGTCAATCCATTGATTGGTCTATAGTAAATTAATAAATATTTTCACTATGATTCTCTTGTACTAAATCTTATACTAAATATTTAAGTTGTTTTTATGAATCAACTTATACATATTTGATTATTTGACTTATTTGGCCTTCCCTTTTCGTGCTTCTCTTCAATAATACCTTCCAATATGATTCTATACAGAGTTCTTTGTTGTATCTTAGCGTATGACATATCAAATGCCATCGTTTTGAATTCTTGATCTTAAATTGTTTAGAAAAAATGTCTGCTTCTGTTCTAAATCTACCACTTCCTTGTTTGTCTTCATTTTCGTTATTTGACTTGTTTTATTTTCCTTTTTCGATAAGTCAAATGGCTATTAAAATTTGATGATATCATGACGATGATATCATAAAAGAGCTGACTGATTTCGTATATATGTATTTTATTTGACCTAAAGTTCCCATATACAGGAAAAGTTGATAATAATAATTTTTATGTAACTATTTTTCAGATTCGAATAAAGGATATTTTGAACGAGTGTTCTTTTATATTTGTAAGCAAATTGACATTTAAATATTTATCATTTATTCATATACGTGACCTTTAACATTACTTTTAAGTGAAATACTTATTTCTTTATTGTTATTAAAAATTGCTTCGAGACACTGTATATGAATATTTTCAGGAGACCAGATAATAGAATTATATTACATTGAACAATAAATTACATTCGAGAGTGGAGCGTACTAAGAAAAAATATATTGTTTTTAATAGTAATAGGATTTGAAAAAACCTTATATGTTCTAGTAATAAATCCAAGAATGGATGAATTTTTTGATTGAGATATTTAAACAATTCCAATTAAAAAATAAAGTTGTGTCAAACGTAACACTTAAAAGATATAAAAAAAGATATTACTTTACATTTATCAATGTTTTAGAATAAATTGTTTTGTTTACACCAGATTGATAGGGTATTTTAGCCATAGTACAAGAAAACAGAATCAGAGAATGATTTAACTAACCGAAAAAATTTCATATCATCAGCGAATAGAAGTTTAAGAGAGTTTAGAAAATTTAAATCATAAATAAACAAAATGAATAACACGGGAGCTAGATGTGAGCCTTGTGAAACTCCTAATAGATTATCAAATTTGAGGTAAAATATTTTACTTTGAATATTTGCTTTTTATTTCGGTATAAGAAATCGACTAAGATAAAAAACGATCACGGAAACCAATAGAATAAAGGCTTTTAGAGAGGAGATGTGATTAATTTTATCGAAGGCCTTTGAAAAATCAGTATAGATATCATCTACTTGATACTCTAAATCCAAAAGCGTCCGATATAAATTTCTGAAATATCACTAGATTAGTAGTTGTGGATTTAGCCATTAAAAATCCGTGTTGATCATTATTAACTATTGGGGAAAGTATAGCATACATTTTTTTGTAAACAATTGATTCAAATATCTTAGATATTATAGAGATCTAGAACTTCAGTAATACTAAACAGGCATAATTGTAAGTTAACTTCAGCTGAATTAGTTTTGAAAAGAAGACGGAATGGAATTGGTGTAATTAAATTATTATCATGAATACCGGAAAAATAACGAGCAAAAAAATTAACAATATCTTTACCACCAATTAAGAGACATTTATTATAGAACATTCTATTAGGAATGGATGTACACGTTTTTAATTTATGAATCTCCAAAATAATTTTGGATTGGCAATTAAAGAATTTTAGGTTTTAAAAATATAATTATTGAAACCAAGTTTAGATCTCAATTTACATTTAGCACGTAGTTTAGAGAAGGCATTATAATTTTTTTGCGTAGTTTTCTTGAAAAGCATATGAGCAATTTTTTTTATATAGATTTAGTCCCTCAAATTCAAACTAAACCATAAAGGAAATTTATTTATAAAATATATATTTTTACAAAAAACTATCAATAATTTTTTGACAACAATTTAATCCATTAAACACGAGTTTCCAATTAATATTAGCTAATGATGGCCTTATAATAAACACAATTAACATAATCATAAAAAGTATAATTAAAGTCTAATAGTTTAGTAACTTCAAATATAATAAATTTAATTAGTAATGCTGGGTGACACAGATATCAATTGAAACCAAAGTTGATAGTTCACATTGAACATCAATAGCCGAGGGTACAGGCTAGTCTGCTACGTTGGTTTATCGTAATCGGTTAGAGTGCTAGGTCAATGGTAGAGATGATGGAATTAACGGAAATCCGGCCCCTATATATTTATAAATTGCCGTAGTCGACTGGAGTAGCATACTTATTGGCACCGTGGTGATTAGTATGCTATAGCGCGTGGTTCTCTGTGTGTAGTATGTGGGGAAACCGCAGTCTCGGAACGGTCTGTTTAATCGCGTCCGTGTCAGCAGGGCGTGCGCTGTATATTATGAATTATGTTATGCACGGTAACGGCAGAACTGTACCGTTACAAAGATTTTCGAAATTTGGAAAAATTCTGCAAATGTCTCAAACGGAGGGCTATATTTTCTTGGAAAATGATTTTTCGGAAAATATTTTTTCGGAACCGTTCAATGTAATTTCATCATAAGCATTTCGTGTTTGCATGTTATCGTCGTTAGGTAAAAATTATTTTCCGACAAAATAAGTTTCCGATAAAATATTATCCGACTAAATATTTTTCCGAAAAAAATCTTTTCNGTACATCAAAATGAATAACATTGAAATTCCCCAAATAAAAACAAAAGACAAAAAAATACTTGTATACTTTTATATACAGAGGTGGCCAAAAGCCGCGAAACAAATTTGCTACACAATTTTTATAAAACTGTTGTGTTTTATGTTAAATATGTTGTTTTTTTATAAACCTTGCTGTTGTTGTACGTAAACAGGATAACGAGACCAAAGTTGCAATATGACGTAACGGAAACGACGAGGAGGGAGAAACTGCGCCATAACGCGCATTCCATACAAGACAGTAGACGTTGAGCGACTTGTGGCTACTTCTGTAGATTAGGTGAAATTACTAGATACGAGTTCATAAAAACCACGTGGAGAAGTATAACTTCCGATCGTGAACGATAATTCCCGAATAATTAACGAATCCTCCACCATCCACCGTATGGCAGCGCTAAAAACTCTGTTGTCGTGTGCAAAGGCGATTATTTTCTGAATAAAGTTTAAAAATAAAATATGATCGGACAAATTGACGCGTTAACTTTTTTTAGACAAATACTACTTGAGAGCAGTTGCAACGTTTTTTAAATTATCGATTTTTATCACGGTTTTACAAGTACTGTAACATAATACAGTTTTTCTAAAAAACAATGAAATCTACACTTGCGTCGTTAATTACAAGTTCAGAAGTAATATAATATATTATATTATTATATATATTGTTTACATAAAGCATTGAAAATTGAAATCTACTTAATAGTTTACTAATTTTTGCATGTCTAACCAGTATAATAATAATAAAAATAATAATATTTTAGCACTTGATTACATCGATAGGACAAGTAAGTATAGTTTGTTTAATAACTCTTACATTTTAATGAGTAGATTAGTATTTTTATTTTAACACAAAGAAGTAAAAAGGAAAAGGCCAGATTATGTATTTTTATTTTTTAATCGAAAAACTTTATAAAGTTTTAAATATAATAATTTTTCGCGATCTTATTATGGCATTATGCACTCTACATTTCCATCGAGCCTATTTCTGCCCAAATGATTAATACTATTTTATTTAAATGAAAAAATGTCGATTTAAGTATTTATTGCTTATGAGCGTCACTATTAAATAGTATTAACTATAGTAAATAAGTATAAATATATGATTATATTTTATAGGTGACGCATATGATTATGTTGAGCATCTGATGACTTTTGCGGATTTTGATGGTACTTTTACATGAATTAATAATTATAATAATTTTAGACAATCATTGTTTTTCTCACTCAAACACGACAATGATAACATGACTGACAGTTCGGATGTCCAAATGAAGAACATTTAACCTGCAGAATTCTGCCTCTAAAAAAATTTGGCCTTTATGATAAGTAATATTATATAAGTGGCTACTGCCCTCAATAAAAAAAAAAACTGTGGCTTCCGTCCAATTTTTCCTATAGGAATCACGTGGCATAGTGAATATTTTACAAGGGATTTTCGGAACTCTAACTAGGTATTTAATTTACACTCTAATTTTATATGTACATTCAGTATCAATAACGGTCTAATATACTATTACATTAACGCATACAATTATAATGTAATTAAATATTCATGTAATCTTTTATTCTTATTTGTAGAGAATAATGTCACGGAGTCACAGCCAAAAGAATTTTGCAAAAGGGAGGAGATGAATAAAATCAAACCAATTTCATCCCTACTCCCGGATTAGAATCCTGATGAAACCTGACAAAGCAAATTTATATTTCATTTATATTGTATGTTAAATATTAATCTGCATATTTTTCTGTTAGTAGATTATAATATTATTATTAAAAATAGTCATATTTATCGTAAGCACATAAAAGTGTATTTACGGGTGTGAATATATTTCACAATATTATATTGTTAAAAAAAAATAAATTCGATATTATATGTATATTCTAATATTTTTGATAGT